ATTTTTCAGGCAATTTAATTCTGGAAAAAGGCGTAAATTGGGAATTTTGGCCTGAAAAAGGCTAATTTGGCAACCCTGCTTCCACTCAGAAACCCACGTCGTCTCTGGACACCCATGTTTTGTATTGTAATCACAAGAGTCACGTTTGCAGTTTATGGTAATTTGTGATGTAAAAAGCTTGCAGAGGACATATTTCGTCACAATGGCATAGGATCCATGGATGTGGTGTACGCCTTCTCCACTTTTTCGGAGCAACAAATGTTTTGCCGCTTTTTCTATGAAAAGTAACCCGTTATATATGATCTTGCCCCTTTTGCATGTCCATATACTAATTAATATTGCCTCTTCTCCGCTGCCCCCCCCCCCCCCACATTTCAATATGTCGTACGCCCCTGATTCGTAAAAACCCCGCTTTGCATTTTATAATCGAATATAGTTGCTCGCATGACAGACCTCATTTATTAACATGTCAGAGAAGAACAATATTAATCTCGAAAATGCCGACCTCATTAATTTTACTACCAAAACTGCCTACAAAGGATGTTGTTGTCCCAAGCCCTGTGGAGGAGAGGCATTGATTGTGTTTGAAGTGGGTGTGAACCTATAAGCGATTTCACAGTTTTTGCCGCCATTATGAATTGGCAAAAATGGCGGACACGCAGCAAACGAGCAAATTACCGCAGAATTTCCAGTCAATTTTGTAGCTAGAATTGCTGATAAAATCAGGCAGTAATCAGCTAAATTAGAATTTAAATGTTCCTTTTTTACAATAAGCAACTCACAAACAGCGTTCCTTGTTGTTTTCCTTGTGATTTCACTGCTGACTTTGACCAGGCTGAAATCAGTCCCCTTTGACCTCTCGTACAAAAACTTCCGCTTTTCGATTCAAACCTTGGTGAAACTCGTTATTTCTAGCCTGTTTACAACCATCTTGAGTTGGACTCTCTTCATAAATTCACTTGACGTCAGTAAAACCTGTACGAGACATCAAAACATCGTGACCAATTCCATGATCGTGACGCATGTAATGTAATGGAGGATTCCCCTGTATGGCATCCCAGCAGATATGCCTCTCATGCTATACAGGGGAATCCTCCATCAATAACATGCGTCACGATCATAGAAGTGGTCACGATGTTTTGATGTCTTTTACAGGTTTTATTGACGTCAAATGAATTTCTGAAGAGAGTCCAACTCAAGATGGTTGTGAACAGGCTAGAAATAACGAGTTTCACCAAGGTTTGAATCGAAACGCGGAAGTTTTTGTACGAGAGGTCAAAGGGGACTGATTTCAGCCTGGTCAAAGTCAGCAGTGAAATCACAAGGAAAACAACAAGGAACGCTGTTTGTGAGTTGCTTATTGTAAAAAAGGAACATTTAAATTCTAATTTAGCTGATTACTGCCTGATTTTATCAGCACTTCTAGCTACAAAATTGACTGGAAATTCTGCGGTAATTTGCTCGTTTGCTGCGTGTCCGCCATTTTTGCCAATTCATAATGGCGGCAAAAACTGTGAAATCGCTTATTGATCCTGTCTTATCAAGTTTTTATTTTGTGCATTCAAACTCAGATCATAGATGCTTAGACCTGTGACGTTTTCGTTAACAAACAGAGCTGATTACGTCAGAATAGATGCGAAACACAACCTTTGTCTAACTATAATACGAGTACTTTTGAAGGAAGTGAATATGTGTTGTAACCGCAGTTCACTGGAAAGTGATAGAACTCTACCTAAAGCAACGGTTTTTGTTATGCGAAGCTTTAGATACAAGATCGAATCTAAATGGTAAAGGTTTCAATCAACGGTATGCCAAATCTACGAATTTTCAGTAAGTATCAGAGAGTAAAGAGAAACCAACTTATAGTGCCTCTTGTTAGGAAAGGAGATCATTTAGTATGAGAGTGTGATATAGATCTGATTATGTTTAACAGGTGACGGGCATTGAACGTTGAATATGCCTAGATATGATTTGAAATAACCCCCTCAAATGATGCAGCCAGTTAGCTGAAATAATTTAGCCCGATAGAAAGTATAGCGAGATATTTTTATTTATTTGAAATAAAGCTTCTTCGCGTTAAAAAATGAAGCCAAAGTATCGGTACCTTTGAACTATTGTTTGTTGCGCTTGTCCCTTAGAAGGGACTTAGGTTATGTATTTAATTCCCAATCTTTGAAACTGTTACTTCGTTACTTAACATCTAGGATTCGGTCATTGATAATGTCACTACCTTTGAAAGCGTCACTTTGCTCTTCAAGACGCATATCAGAACTTGCCGCTAGACAAAACCCCTTAAAACCACCCCAACCCTCCCCCTTTCGGCTTACCGGTGAAAAGCAATTTAACCGTAGTTGTTTTCAATGCATAAACGCCTTATTGATATGATTCCCCGCCTAAATTATTGCCTAAAGTACTTATCGATTCAATTTTGGCTTAATAATTGATGAAGTTCCGCATTGGTTGCTCACAACCTATTGCTATCAAAAGGGAGTCCACGAAACCTGAAAGTCGTTAGCCTCTTAGCAATGAAAACTTTTCAATTCAATTGCAAACCTCTCTCTTAAGCATGTAGTTTCCAAGTGACTCACCTGGGTTTACAAGATAATTCTAAAACAATCGTTAGTGCTAAAGGAAAATCTAAGGAAAAATAAACACATGGATTATTTTGTAGTACTAAGATGCAGTACGTTGTATGAATGGCTTCGTTGAAAAGTTTAAAGAACCATTTGGGCTGTTGACTTGTAGAGAGAGAATCACACATTTTTAGCACTCCTGTGACTATCGCTAGGAAGGGGGGAGCCTCTACCCCTTCTCTATTTCAGGCGACCCCCTGACTAGCGATAGTCACCGGAGTGCGAGTAATCTTTTATCACGTGACCTGTGCGGAGCCAATTTTTTTCAAATCGAGGTTGATACACCTCTTGTCTTTTCCGAGGCTAATCTGCAAACTCATTGGGGGCTTCGACAGAATTCTTGTCTTTGCCGAGGCTAATTTTACTATCATTCATAGAGGGTATTAAGAAAATTCTTGTCTTTTCCGAGGCTAATCTATGTACCCTACCGTAGGGTCACTGGCAAGCCCGCGTAGCAGGCTTCGTAGGGGAGCTAGTTTTGTAGTACTAAGATGCAGTACGTTGTATGAATGGCTTCGTTGAAAAGTTTAAAGAACCATTTGGGCTGTTGACTTGTAGAGAGAGAATCACACATTTTATAAGTAAGTTGCAGCAATTGCCGAATGTGCCAAGAGAGCTCATAAAAGGGTTGTTCTAGGTTGTACCTCAAATTACTTTTTTAAAGCTTCTGTTTTGCACTTATTTCAAGTCACAGTTATGTAATGGTCTACTTTGATTGTACCTATCGGATATTGTAGGGGTGTCAAACTGAAGGCCAGTTGGCCGAGTTCCTGTGGTATTAACAGTTGTGGTCCGCGAATTAGCTCCGTATGTCTGTAATTGATAGGCCTTCGTGTTCATCTCCTAAAGAAAAAACATACTTCTATTTGTCTGGCTACCCAAACTTAAATTTCAGTTGAAGCATTCGAGCCGTTTGTGTAACTGGGTTTTTCAGCCCTGAGATAATGCAACAAGTAAAGGCTTGTTAGGGTAAATAGCAAGGAATCTGCATGAATAGAGAGTGGCTCAAAAAAGCTTAGATAGGGCGCTTCCAGGATTTGCACCCTCCTCGTTGATTTTTTGTTCTTGGAGAGTCATCTGGCAACTATTTTTCATATGTGTTTTTGTCAAGAAAGATCATAAAATGTTTTAGCAAGTTTATGCCTTAATGTTGAGGAATCATGTTTGACAAACCCTAACAATTTTGATGTAACCAGTGGCCTAAGGGAGGCCCTTTAATATGGGACCTTTAAACTGGGACCTTTAATATGGGCCCTTTAAACTGTGACGAGACCCTATTTACTACGTTACGCTACTGGATGTAATGCGCCTCGATGTTTTGCCGCTAAAAATTTGCTAATTTGGATTATTGGTTCAAGCAAGTCGTCTTTGGAAATAACTCTTTTATGTTTAATCTCGATAACCCGCTTAATTTACAAAACTTCTCTGTCTTCAGTTCAAACTAACTCTTGCTTTTATGTTCTCGCTATTTCAGGTTTTCTTGGCGGTAAAGACAACAGTAGGTTCTCCTTGTCAAATCAAAAGGAGGGCCAAATCAAAAGAACAAATAGCTGCAGAATCGTCTCTGGGATAAAGTAAGTATACTGTAATGTTAAGGAAACTACTGATCTTATAGCGTCGATTAGGAAGCAGCTTCTGAAAACTGAGTCTTAAGTTAAATGACAGATCGTCAGAAAAGCTAAGTTTGATCATTTTGTTGTGGGGCGTATGATTGCATATAACTTGCTATTGAATTGCTTTATGTAGTTTAAAGTTGTTACACGAGATCATGTTGTATGTATTAATTACAGAAGGTTAGCTCTTTTATTTAGCGATGTGAGCTGGCTAGCAGGCATGAGCCTTAACTTCAAGGTTTTTTAGGTTGACTGCAGTTTCAGATAATTCGTTCCCTTATTAGTTTGTTTTCGAATGGTCCCTTTCTTTCAAAACCCTCCAGTAACTTGGAAATTGAGGTAGTTCCCCTATTTATAAGTAAGGATTTGAACCTCCTGAGTGAGGATCGTCGTGTGTAGAAGTCACCCAAGCATGCATGAAAAGAACTATTATTTAGACGAATATTCGATCATTTTAATGCGCTTGTCACAGAGTTTATTGTGTGCATCCTTAAACCCATTGTTACTTTCTAGCTTTTCTTTATTAAGCCACTTAAGCTTCGCATCTTAGTAGAAATTCTTACATTGAACTTTTTTGCAGCAAATCAACGGACCTGCTAGATTTAATGACCGACTTGAGCACATCGAAAGAAATCGGAACGAGGCTTAGCACATCACAGTCGTGTTTGGCTTTAAATGAAATCGCAAAAATTAAAGAAATAAATTTTATTGACAAGCCCAGCTTCAGCAAAGATGTTTTTTATAACAAGCGGAATATGTTGATTCGAAAAGACAGTGGAACAGAAAGTGGTTTTGTGGAATCCGAGGCAGAATTCGAGAACGAGGCATCAAGACAGGTGCCTGATTCGTTTGATTTGCTGCCGCCTTTGGAGAAACGGCGCCAGATTGTAAGTTATCGAAAATATTTTCATTGGATCTTATTAACTGGGAAGAGAAGGCTTCCGATCCAGGCTTTAACTCGTACTTAAGTTAAACATTGTGAAAAGTGTGACCATTGCCGATCGAAGTAGACTAGTGCGCAAAATATATAATTCCGCAGTTTAAAGGCGGTTTTTGCTCAGTCCAAATATAAAAGCATGGCGACTTAACAAGTTCGAGATCATTCGTCATAAAAAATGTTTTGAAAAAGTGAGATAAGCCTTGATAAAATGGACTAAGACATCTAAGCATACGCCTGGCCGTGCGCATCATGATGTATTCACACACATCACAAACCGCCACGTGTTTTGCCAATGGTTGTTCTTAATTTTGAGATAAATCGTGCCCTGAAAGATGTGCTCAAAACATACGGCTCATCGATGGTTAGATGTCCAGTATTTCTTTCGGAGAAAGAAACATTGAAATTTGATACCCAGCTATAGATGACACACACCTGCGTGTATATTGATATAACTAGAATGTGCATTTGAAAAAGAAATTTCGTTTCGTTAGTATACTTATTATTCCTATCATTTTTCAACTTTCTGCGTTTATCTGATGCTCGCTCGAGCTACTTGTTATTGCTTTTTATGTCGCATTTTTCTTTAAAAAATCTTTTTTCGTATTTAATACTTCCTTCTGTAAAATGAATGCAGTACTAAACAGTTTATCGTAAATTGCTAAAATTTTCGCCGAACATCAACATCCAATCTCTGAAGGATAATACCAGCCAGAACATGAACATCCAATATAATGTATAAAGGAATACTAGGTATTCCCCTCTTTCTTCGTATCAAAGAGCACGCGCAATAAAGTTTGAGTTCAATGTACATGCTTTCTGATCCCAAGGGAGGGAGGGTGGAGCTTACGTCACTAGTCAGGAGACTTTCTTATATTCAAACTCCCCCCCCCCAACATATTTGTACGACAGATGAGTCATTCTTCGAGCACTCATTCATTTGGGTAGATTTTTTAACAAAATATTTTGAAAGAGTAGAAATTATTTTAGCAAGTTGATTAAAATTGATGAAAACCCCATGGAATGCTATCAGAACTTCTACAGAAGTGTGTGTATTTTTAGCTGTTCAGCGGATGCTCCTCTGCTTATGTTATTTGATATTCAGTGTCATGCCAGTTGATTAGCAACTTGATTGAGGCTGCCTAGGTTTCTCCAAAGAGATTTCCACCAGATTCCTATAAGTTCTTGTGCAATCGTCTTCGAATTGTTGCTTCGGTTCACTTGTTATTCCATAAAGCCATACATTCGTATCACCTGCTCTTGGTATTTTGTCCAGCTGCCTTTCTCACGCTATGTGTTGCGTTTGACAAAGAAAATACGGATCTGCAGGATGCTCTAAAAACCAAAGTCTGGCTTATCAATATTTTATCAGAATATAAACAGCAGCTACACTCTTTTTTATAAGAACAATTTTGTAAGAATACGAGCCTCAAAATTGGTCAAAAGTTAAGTATAATATAAGAGCAAACTGAGGCTGAACTACTGTACAATGCAATTTTGAACAACGTTTTATCTCAAAAACGAGGATTTTTAGCCATCTGTGGGTGTTTTTTTGGTGAATATTCAAGCTTGTCGGCACATGAAGATTTTTTCACTCGCTTTGTCGTCAAATCAGGCCTGAAAACCTGCCTAGAGCGAAAAAGCTACCGATTGCACTGCTTACACCCTTTAAGTCTAAGAACAAATTGAGAACAATCCAGCCTCGAATTTTCGAAAAAAATTAAGAATGGTCAGCCTGAACTTATATTTACTGGTTCTGCAAGGTAAAAAGTGCAAGTTTTCTGACTTTTCATATGACTGACTCTTTGATTCAAATCTGCTTTACGAGCTACTCTGTTGTGTTAAGAAAGTATACGTTTTATGATTTTTTGATTTAGAGGTTTTATGATTTTGATGGTTATTTTGCTGTTTTGAAATATAATTAGCGACAATGACCAAAATAGCGTGTGTGAGTAACTTCTTGATGACTGGTTAGCAAAATGGTGCTAGATACACATCTTATTACTGCCCATTCCGTGTTGCAGACATAGCTCTGTTTTGTAGGCTTTTTATGAGTTTCGACAGGCCTTTTTTTAAGATAGACCGCAAACTTGACTTTTTTTAGAGATCAGTAAGACTCCATTAATAGGTTATGTTAGAAACATTGTCAATTATTATTTTATCATGAACGTAATTAAGAAAACGGGTATATGAATGACGGTTTTGAAGATTACGAAACTTTTTTAACTTCACAGCCATATTTGCCTTAAATTCACATTTTACTTAAAGCCAACGGTTCCAAGGAAGCTTTGATGATTTTCCTCTCCACTCATCACACCACTAAGCGATGTTTGTTTCTTTCTTTAAGAGAATACGGGAATTGGTTCAGCTGGCAGATACTTTTGCAAATGGATTCAGTACATCATTACAGGTTTGAATTCAAATAAAATGTGATCTTGAGCTTTTAAGCCCAGCACTGTTAATGTTTCAAATAAAATGCTCACTACAAATTTTAATTGCATGTGCTGTTGCATGTGTCAATTCACTCACTTCCATGTGCTTTTTTACAGAAACTCGAGTTGGCTGTTAAAAGGAACTTTCCAAGGTCAATCATGATATCATTAGCTAGGAAGATTGATAAAATGGAGAAGGTGATTTTCAGTTACATTTCGTGCCTTTTAGTGTACCGTAATTTTCATTGCCACCTCCAAGCGTAATTAAATCGGTCTGTGTTTCTGTATTATCTTCTGTTTCTATATGCAAAAGTCTATATGCAAAAGTCTATTTTTATTTGTACGAGAATTTCACATTTTCGAACAAGCTACAGTAGTTTTTTCCGTTTCCACTCTATGGCACATGTAGGCCTATCGATACAATAATGTTCGTAAGTGTGACGTCACTGCAACAAAACTTTTCTGTCTGTTTCTGTGTGCTGTTTCTCGTACAGAATTTGGGCTGTTTCTGTTTATTATTTTGTTCTAAACACTTTGTTTTTCAATATCATTTCATACATAAATCTAGATTGAGAAGATACTTTTCAAACTTACGAGAGAGTTGTCGAAAAAGAAGCTTCTGTTTTCACAACAATGGACGTCGAAATCAGAAGATGAATTCTACATCGACGTTGTGGGAAATCTTTTCTCTTCGAAAGTGGGTTGAATTTTTCCTTTCCTCTGAACAAATATTTCTATCAATGCCTTTAGAATTTCCTTTGTCTGGTTTTTTTATTCAAGGCATTTGCACATATTAGATCAAGTAATTTTTTCATCTCATTCCTATATCATTAACTAACGACAAAAATGCAACTGTTTCAGACTCTGATTTAGCTGTTTATTAATGCTTTGAAGCTGATAAGTTCCTGAATGATTTTACGTTGTTATGTTGCGGACGTCACGAGCATGCATATTTTGAATATGAACTGTAGAAATAGAAATTAAAGATTTGAATTATATAAATGAGCGCTTAATCATCCCGTATTCTCCATAGGTTTCTGGTTAGTTGTAGCTATGATTTTTATTACTTAGACACTGTTATCTGTTTACTATCAACGACAATCTCATTAACAGATGAAAGATGTTTTGGTGGCATATGGCGAGATGCGTGAAATTAGGAATGAATATGACGATGGAAGTGAACAATTCCACGAATTTCGTTTGCTGCACGAGGATGCTGTTGATGTCCTCGCAGAAGTAAGTTTTTTGTACTGAAAAATTACCAAGTAGCAATTATTGATTACATTAAGTACCAAAAATTTCGGCGAGATTTATTTTCGGTGAAGCAGGTCAACCGAAAATTAATCCCGCCAAAATTTTTCGAAACAAAATTTTTTCTCACCGAAATTTGCAAACGCTAGGGAAACTTCTTCAAATTTTGTTCGAGACTCTCAAAATAACAAAAAAAATGTTTTCTTTGATATTTCAAAGATGCCAGAGAATGTTTTACGATGTCAAATCTGATATCACACTGCATGATTGAAGTGCATGAAAAACCTTTTATAGAGATTTTTTAGCTACCAATTTTTTGTTTGTTTTCCTATACATCAAATACCTATCAATTTTTATTTTCAATTTCTGTGTCATCAACAAATAAAATATCCAGCTCATCTTCACTTTCTTCTCTTTGACCTTCTATACACAAACAATTCGAGTTCTCTTCTTCTATTATCTTTTCATAATTTATCACAATTATTTCTTTGAAATCTTCCTGCGGTTTCAATTTAGACGCCTCAGTTTTTAAATGACAATCGATCAGAATTTCTTGTCTTCTTGTTGCGATTGGCGATAGAAAATATTGTGAATTGTAAACACTTTCAATCAATCTTCCTTCTTTATGAAGAATGAAATAAAGGCGACCTCCTTTAAATAAAGGTTTATAACATTTTTGCCCTCTCTTTAGTTCCATTCATTGGGTTTTTGTAACATTACGTTTTTGTAACTTTTATGATGCTTTTCAGAAAATAGTGTTTTAGATCTTTCTGCTCACTGAAAATTGTCTTTTCACCATAATTTCTTAACTTTTCGACGAAATTTCAAATATACTACCGAAATTGTTTCTACCGGTAGTTAATCCACTGAAATAAAGAAAGCTAAAGGGCTGTCTAAAAGAGTTGTAATGGTAGCCGCTATGGTTAATTTATACTTTTTGTCTTAATCAGGATAAGCCAAATGGATTTTATATGTTCTAGATTCCCAACGTCTTTAATATCGTCAATATAATTTCATTTTTATCTATCAATAAGTGTTCAAACTGGAAATAACTTGCTGAACAAAATTCATACATATTTGTAAAATATCAGAGGACCCCCTCATCCCCCCCCCAACTTTCTTAAAAAATTACTCTCCTGTATAATGCTACTCCTCCTGTCAGACTATTTGCTAAAAGTGGAATCTGATTTCATTATTGATATCTATGCTGTTGAAAATCCAATCATGCATACATGCTCTAGAATATCAGAATTAGCGTACGAAAACCGCACCAAACCCTTTTTCTACTAGTAATAAACATACGCAATTATTTTTCTTTTACCGAGTCTTCTCCTGATACCTGCTTTTTTGGTCTTATCTTATGGTCTTTGGTCTTATCTTATGGTCTTTGGTCTTATTTTATTATCAAGTTTAGTTAGCCTTCGAACCATTTTATAATTCTAATTTGTAGATGCCGTAACTGTCACTCCGCCCACCAGTTAAAATAAATTTGTAATTAACTCAACGACTTATTTGAAAAAATTTCTAATCTCCGTATCATTTGTTTATATAACTGGATTGATTGCACAGACAACGGCTACAGCATGCTCAGTTATGATGAATTCACGCTGTTGCTTGGAAAAGCATTGCTTATTCTGTCACCATTTTTGCTACAAAATCGTTCAAGCGTGTTCTGTGCACCAAAACAGGGTTATTAAAGAATAAGTTTGGTTTGTAATCAACCGAATTCAAAAAAGAGTTGTTTTGATTCTTTATGCAATGCCATCGTCATGCCACTAACTATGGCCTTGTTTTCTTTTCAAGTATTTTCTACGACTTCAGCTTGCCCTGAAATATGTATTGTACTGCACCCCAAGACAGCATATCGACCATCGGTGTCTGACTAATATCGTGGAAGGTACCTTTATTTATTGTCTCTCACCGCCTTTCTACATATTGCTTTCAAAAATATTGTATGCCCTGCTAAGAATAAACATGATCATTGTGGTATTTGATGCTGTGTTTTAATGCTTTGTTGGTATGTTTACCGGAGCTTTCTAGTTGAGCTGAAATCCAATGATTTCCAGCATGAAGGTAAATCTTGTCTTCCTTGTTATTTTCATCACTTTTTAAACTTTTTTGCAGGATTTTATTCCATGTATTGTTGAGACTTTTCAGCAAGGCGTTGATATGTGGCGTTGTTTGCGTGACTCTGGTTTCACAAGTCTCGGAGTTCTGTTAATAAACTTTTATTAACTTGTAAAGAAAATTCACTTTGCATTTAGTTCTTTCTAGAGAGGACTTTCGCCAAATCCGTATCAGTTACTGACTCCCAGAGGTGTCCATATACTTTCCTTTTAACACAGCAATTTGCCTAAAGTCATCCAGTCCTCTATTCCCCGAACCTATTTTAATGTTGATGAATACAATTTAATGATTGCCATCTACCCTTCACTTAACTGATCTGAATGTCTCAGCTTTGCCTTTGAGTTTTGTAATACTCATGTTACTTTTGCAGATCTGAACCACTTCAATCGATGTAAATTCCAAAAAGAATCCAAATGCGAAAAGGAAAAGGTGGGAATATTTAATATGACTGTTCAGTTTTTCTCACGTTGCCTTTAGAATAACGCTGCTCTTAGCGACGAAAAACCCTTAGTTCTATTTTTAAAATAATTATTTAGTGAGAAATCTTGCTCTTTTGATACAAGGTTGAAATATGAATTGTGAATATTCTGTTTAATTAGGACTTAATCTTTCTGAGCAAATTTTTTTCAAGAAAATTCACATCGGAAAAACGAAGTGTCCAGTTTTGATCATTAATCTGTGAACTAGTTTTTGAAAAAATTCTGTTTGTCCAGAGGGAAGACTGGATTACAAACAGACCCCCTGGCAGTACTGATATTTTTGGAAAGTTTCAATTCATTTCATTAGGTCTCATTCAGTTTTTGTTACGTTTTTCATAAGCCTCTTTTTCAGTTACGTTTTTTGCTAAAGCTTTGTTTTTTCAATTTTTTCGAGTAAACGTTATTTCGTCATTAAACGTCATTAATATAGATAGCGTTTCCCCATGTGCAGTACGAAAACATGGGGACTGGGTGGCAGGGTCGTACAATTAAAAAGTTTTGTACCCAACCTTGGAGCTCTCCCGCCCTCCACCCTTTGTTCTGCTTAATGTCATGGTAAATGATGCATTCTTAAATGAACGTTGAGCACTAAGCTTGATGGCAGTGTATTAATTGATGATTTTAGGGCCTGTCAGACGATTGGCCATCACCTGACGGCGAAGCACAACCTGAAAACGAGTCACACAATAGCAAAGATGAAACAGAAAGAAAAGCAAAATTGGTGAAACGAAGACACTCCTGTGACAACTCAACTCTAAAGAAACTCAGTTCGTTTACAAGGGGCATTGGTTTCCTTCGAAGCTCTGGGCGTCGATCAAGACAAGAAGGCGAGACTCCACTCAAGAGGACACAGTTGATTGATAGCAGTGATATGAGAGCTAAGCCGCGCAAATCAGGGTCCGCTATACCATGGCACTCGACACCAAAAGAATCCCGCGCCACTCACAATGGCAAAGAAAATGGGGTTTTGGAAGACAGAGAGACTAGTTTTGACTCGAATTTTTACCTTTTCAATGAAAAACAGAGTATAGACAGTTTTCATACCAAGGGTGGAATTGTTCCTCATGAGAATATATCATCTTCGAACGACACGATCACCGATGATAGTAATGAGTTAGAAAAAAGTGGGGATCTTTCTAACCACAAAGGCCAGGCTAGAACTGCCGGTAGAGACGAAAAGGTGAACGGTAAAGTCCCGCCACTCGATACTAGATTTGACTGCAGCCACAAAAGAGATCATTACCGGGCAAGGATGAACTCATTAGGGAGATCGAAAGGCAGCAGCATCGCAAAATCGTTGAAAGAAAATACTGAGTGTTGTAGTAATGAAAGTTTGGGTTATCAAAGTGAAAAAGCAATCGATAGATCAAGGGAAAGTGCCTCCTCAAAAGATCGGATTTTTGATGTTTTCTATAATAACGGTACCGTGGATGTTCCAGATCCTATCAAGAAATCATCAATTGGTGAAAGACCCTCGATACTTCCTGTACCGAGATCTCCAAGTTCATCGCCAACAATTCTGCCAGATTTTTCTCCGCAGTCTCCTAGCTTGCTGGAACGCAGCGAAAACTTATTTCCGTTATCTTGCGACCAAGTGACTGAAAAGAATAGCAGTGCTTCATTCACAAGACCAAGCTCCAAATTAGAAAAACAAGAAAAGTGCAGGAAGAAAAAGGAAAAGTCAGAAAAGCTGCTTGTCCCAGTGCCTTTCCCAGACAGCTACACAAGTGATGAAGATATGCGCCTTGACAGGTATATCGGTGAAAGTTGTATGAAAAGTGTACCAAAGATGAGCCATAGTGGAAAAAGCAACAGCACCTTGGATGGTACTTCTAGCCGCATAGACAGGTGTCATGCACGCCATTTTGAGAAACTGAACGAAAATTGCAGTGACGAGAAAATCAAGTCGCACCAAGCTGCTGAAGCGCATGCCAAGTGCAGGAAAGTTTCACACGATAAATCAGTTTTAGGAAAAAACTCCAAAAAACTCTCATCAGATTCGCGCAGTGACCTACCGCCATTAGAAGATAGTTCCAAGGGCATTAAGGTCAGTATTTCCCGTGCAAAGAAATCTTTTCTTGATTTTACCTCCCCCATAATTTCAAGAAAAAAAGAAAGAACCTTAAAAAACTCTAATAACTTGACTTTGCAATCATGTGACGGAATAACGACTGCTGCTAAGAAGGAGACAAGTAGCAGTAATAGCAAAAAGTTCAACAAAAGTTATACGGCAGATGGGTGGTTAAATGATTTGAAAGAGAGAACCTTGAACGGGCATTGCAAGAATTGCCAGGAGGCACGGCCAGTATCTCATTTTGACAGATACTCATATGAATGTGGCACAAGCACATCGCCTTTCGGTAATAGAGAACCAAGTAGTTTTCTGTGCTCTAAAAATGAATTACCCGGTTCTTCAAAATCCTGCCATTTGAATGACAGCTTGCTTGATGATCAAATAGAGGAAAGTCATGGACAAAGCTCTCCCGAATGCGTTCAACGCTGCAGGTCTCCATCTTTGACCAGCAATTTATCAATTTCTTCAGACTTTAATATAACTGTCACGAGATTTCTGCGGTCAAATCGTGAAAGTTCTACGGAAACCGTAGTTGGCAATTCAACTTTTTATCGTGCGTCGCCTGAAGTCCCTGCTAGATCTCCAGATTTAGAGCTGTCTGTAGAACAGCGAGAGGTGCACCAAAAGGCTTCTCGACCAATTGAAAGTTCCCCAGCTATTGCCAACTCAAGATCTTTAAATGACCATGACAGTAATTTTTTGACTCGAACAAAACTAGACAACCAGAACGGCAACAAGATTGCCGCAACCAGAGTGAAGAGCAACAATGCACAGGAAACTACAACACCTCAGAACAGTGACCTGGCGGCAATAAGGTATGAAATGTTTACTATGTTTTGTTTTAAAAGGTTTATTGTTTAGATCAGCTAATAAGGCTTATCTTGAAAAACTAGAGGTTTATAACCCACTGTCATTTCGATGTGCGGCTCATCCGGCTACAAGCCACAATCGGCCACCAAGGAAAATCCCCCCAGTAAAGCCGAGGTCCTTGCTTGATCGCATATTTATATTCAGTTATGCTTATCAATATTCTTTCATTTCGTGCGTTTTCAGAACTATGATTAAGGCTCGAGAGCTTCCCTATGGTTTAGCTGGGACTCTGTCAGCGTCTACCATTCCATGATCGTTAGCAAAATCCACTTATCGAAAGGAAAAGGAAAAAAAACAAATTCATTCAGAGCGTTTTATCAGTTTACTTTCCCCTAGTAAAGAGAAATTTTTGCCAAATGACGTAGACGGCCCTGCATGGAATCGCTGTAGGAAGGACAAGTAAAGAAACGAAATCTGAACATGTGTTGACAGCTGGTATTTTCTCCTAAGTAGAAAAACTTAAGTATAAAAATGTGCAAATGCTCTTTGGAATAATGTAATATATTGTTTGAAATGTTTCTCTGTTGCCAGATCAAATATTGCAATCACCCCTAAACACTGAAACCCTTACAATAATACGAGGCAGTTTTAGATGGGAGGAAGGGGATGCTATACTGCAAGAACTTTCGCGATCTTGATTCAGGAAATACTGGTTTTTGCTCTGTCTAAAAGTTGGCTCTGGATGTTTTAAGCTTTTGTAGGCTATTAACAAATTGTGGTAGTATCAACGATCCGTTAAAGATAAGGTTCTATATATTTTGAATTCACGTACAAGCTGTTGACTTTGTTATCCACGAAAATTGATGTTTGATGTATTCGTGAAGATTCCCTCTCTACTCAATGATTATCGTTTTTGATCATTTTTATGCAAAATGAACGTTTTTTGAATGATCTGTCTTAACCTTATTTAACCCTGATTACACTTGCCTCCAATCAATGTTCAAAAAATTCATCGGTAATTGCTGCTTGTAGAAGATTCAATCAGAAACCTACTTGATGTTTTTATTCAAAAATTGATCGCGCTTATGAAAAACCTTGAAACACGCGTAGAAGTTGTGTTTAAGGCGGGTGGTTTTTGACAACCATGCCATCGTGATATCTGCTGGCTTGTTCCACATTGTGTCTACACAGAAACAGAGGAACCTCGATGTAACGATATTTCAAGGGCACCAAAGAAGTAGTTTGGTCATTCGAGAGTTCGTTATAGTGAGGGAGCTTTTATTGGTCTGAATAAGAATGCGTGGACTCCTTTTAAATTTCCACACTAGTTTTTTGGTGTAATTAACAAGTAACAACATATTACTAACAGGATGTCTAAAAAATCTGGAAACTTTTTGCTTCCCCAAAAACACCGCATTAGACTCTATAAAGAACTAAAGATTTTGTATGTTTTTTATATGTACCGAATAAGTAAGAAATGAATTCTTTTTATAGGATCTCTAAGTCAGATCCGGTTTTGAAGTACTCAACGACCCAATCGACGTTGAAGAACGCACGTGACAATTCTCAGCTGATAGCCAATGAATCGTTAGACACTCAGAAGATACTGGAGAAATTACGTAAGGTTCCCAAAGCCCGCGTTTTATCGTGGGCTGAAAGCTTCGACAACCTGCTTTCAGATAAAGGTAATCAATTAATAAACCATCTCAATCAAGCAGCCTTTTTTTTAAACTTGACAAAGTTTCATCTTGTCCCTCATATAGAGATTTTGGCTCCTGCTTTGGATTCGGGACCCAAAATTTATCCTAACTTCAAGCTTTCACATTTCAAGCACTCGTGTTGATTGTTTGGGAAAAGAAATTTTGAAGTTCTTTAAGAGATTGGATCGTATAATGTGAATAGGGATGTCAAAATATACCCTGAATGATTTTGTGGTCAAATTTCTTATACATTTACGAGTTGTTATATGTTAGAAAGCGGCTGAGATATGGCCAGTGGAAGACTATTTTAAAGGATCTTTTTTATGTGACTGCTAAGCCACACTTTTGATTTCTACCAATGATATGCTTTTAAGTAATTCTCGCACGTATGTGCTATGTCGTGAAAATAGCACTGATACGGCTTGGAACATTTATCTTGTCAGTCAATGCTGTCTGTACCTAGCTGATTGCTCTCTGCAAAGCATTTCACTTCAAACGGAAAACGTGAGCCAGCTGTATTTTTACAAAATCACGCAGCCATCAATATTGGTACATAGAAATGCTACTTAGCTTGTCAGTCAACATACACCATACTACATTTCATCTATCGATGTAGGAGTCGTTCTTTTTCTTGTTGCACGTAATGTAAGGTTCAAAATCTCTTTTTCAGATGGTGTCAAGTTATTTGGGCATTTTTTGAAGTCAGAGTTCAGCGAAGAAAACCTGCTATTTTGGCTAGCATGTCAACAATTCAAGTCAATCCGCTCTTCAAAAATTGCCAAAGAAGCCCAGAAGATATACGGGATGTTCATAGAGATATGCGCAATCTATGAGGTACGGGATAACCTGCTTCATAATCGAACCTACTCTATATTCGAATAACGTTAATCCTCGAATGAATCCCGCGCATTAGACTTTCTTTCGCCGAACGGGGGCCCTCATTAAATTTTCACCATTTCACTCAGGTAATGCATTCCAAAAAAGCATCTTTATAAAGTAACAAATTATGTTCAAAATAATTGAAGTAAATATTAAATCTTGGTTTAGCGCAAATCGCTTGACAGACAAGCAAAGTTTGAAACGATGAGCTCCAGAAAAAAAGGCAACGGATTAAAAATTTGAATGAACCTTTACGTTGCAATGCTTGTTAAACGGCAGTACCAATAAACAGATTGATACCGCATTTTTGACAGCATTTTTAAATACATTAAACCTTTTGCATATATTCTTAATATTTTCAAAAGTCGTGCTGAAACGACACTACTTAAGTTGCCAAATACTCAACTCATTTCAACCAGATTCTTGTATAATTCAGTACTATGTAACCTATTCACTTAGATTCTGATCAGATTTCGTTTCCACCAGTTGAAAAACTAGAGACTTTCGAACTGAGAGGTGTTAAGTTTTTATGTGTGGTCGTCACTAAGACAGCTGTATTATAAACCGATGCAGTAAAATTTACTTAAAATCGATTTGAAGTTTACTTACTCCAGAAGTTTTCCAAATGTTTACTATTTATGAAAAACTGCATTCAATCTTAAAAATAGAAAGTGCTTCAACACAAGGGCTTTCGAGAAGAGAAATTTTGATAATATAATAATAAAATAATGTCTTTTGTTGTGAGTAAACTCTTTTATTAGACCAGAAATTTATTTTGAATCAAACAATATTGTGTGATACTGATTGTTGTATGCTAGCCTTGAGTTCCAACGAAAGCTAATAGTTGAGCTTAACGACAGCTATGCAAAAGGATCGGATAAATAATTCATTCTTCGTTCATGAAAATTGGACACTAAAAATTATTGACAAAGAAGTAAGAAAATGTTAGCCTAGAAATATAGTCCTACACTTAAAAAAGCTACGAACTTTCATTTTCAAGAAATGGTGTCGGTTGGGTGGCGCTTTGCCTTCTGATAAGATACTAATTTCTACCGATATTATCGGTTCAAAAACAGACCTTAATGTCTTAGACTGCCTGAATAAAGAATGGTATCAAAGAGATTTAAATCAGACGGCTTTTTTTGACGATTGAAATGATAGCTACCTTGCATCAAATTTCCAGCATCCCTTTCAAAAGGGACTTTTTTACTTCAAGGCTGTGCCATTCACGTTAAACAACATTGAAAGAATTGCGTTTTTTTCAGGTGAACCTAGATCACCAAACCCGAACTACAATAAAAGACTCAGTTCAATCGCCAAGTAAGAATATATTTGATGCTGCCCAGTCTAAGATCAGGCTGCTGATGGCGCAAGACTCGTACCCAAGGTTCATCAGATCTAGGACATACAAAGATCTGGCTGAATGACGATAATCAAGACAAGCATGCAGAAATTATAGAAAGAAATGTCGCAAGGCATCGTGGAAGATTAGAAGTCCTGAACACAAATGGCAGAAAAACACCCTGCTATTTGTGCTCTACAGAAAATCTTTATTCGTGTTTTACTTAATCCGCTTCCTTGTTGTCTAGAGAAACAATGATATTTTAAGAGGACGTTCGAAGGTCTTATTAATATAATGCCCTAAAGAGATATGCTCAGTTTATTTTGCTTTCTTTTATGGTTCACTATTTATTCCACCTAAACCCATGTATCTGAAATAGGATTTCCTGGACTGTAGCCTATTTACTAGAATATTGAAATGTCCAATCAACTATGAGATCTGACAGACGGCTGGTCCGTTCTTATGTCACGCTCATTTATGCGATATTTATGATTAATGTTACCATGCACTGATAGGCCTGAAAGTCCAATGCCCCTGCTGGTATTATCACCTGCCCTTTGCCTATGAATCTGCTCTGAGGATTTTATTCGTTCAACAAAAAACTATGAATCCACCTCTTCTCTCAGCTTTTCTTCCACAAGAGTTTAGAGATTGAACTATCATCATGTGTTACTTTTTAGTACTGCTTTTGTAATCACTTCAATCATGCCAGCCACGATAGACACGTTTTCAAAATATTTGTCCATCCTTTATAGTGACGTACCATTTATGGGCATATGTCCTTTTCGCCAATTTATTTTTAAGAGCAATAAATTCCATTTAATGACCGGGATATTTGTAAGGTGAAAGTTGTAGGCAAACGTTTTATAAAGTTGGCCTTTTGGATGTTTTTATTTCAAATATCTGATGTTGAAATGTTATAAAGGCCCTTGCGCAACCGGCATGCTTTGCGGTAGCTGTTTTTTACACGAGAAGAAATGAACTGTATTTTATATTTTTATGCAGTACTATATTAGGCCCTTTTTGAAAATATATCCGCAAAGCATGCCGGTTGCACAAGAGCCTTTAAGTTCTTCTAGTCACTTGTCTTCACGATACTTTGGGTTGTTGACAAGCAACAAGTGATGAATAGCTTTTGATATATATTTTAAAATTTTGTGTGAATATGTAAATGGTGGACAAAGTTATTTATGGTGTACCGAATGTCTAGTTTCATCACGAGGTTTTTTAGCTAGATCAGAATGGAGGTTAAGATGATGTCAGGATGCAAAATGGATAGGGGGCAAGGCAGCTTCTCTCGATATCATACGAGTATGTAGCTACTATTTAGAAAAAAGATGGAAATTACGAACCCGTCTGGTCCATTCTTTTGAAAGTTACCAATCCCCCGTTGATTGTAGCACGACACTCCATTTTTCGAGATTTTAGGAAGTTTTCTACCATCGTCTCTCTACCCCCCAATCGTTCAAACACTCCCTTTCTGTTTATGTTTAGAAATAAATCTCTAGATGCAACGAACAGCAAGAAACACATTGGTTGATCTTATGTAGTAGCCACAACGTTAGCTAGTTTCTTCGCAATGAACGCCTTGCTCTCTTCCACGTCTTTTAGTTTCATCGGCCAGAATAATTATCTCGTATTTATCACTTATATACTATAATTGAATTTTCGAATTTCTCATAAAATTTTAAATGCTAATTTTATACAACAAATGGTATTCAGATTCATTGTTGCCGTTTTATATCTTAATCTATTGCCAGACGACAGAGGAAGTCAATTGATATATTTTTTTTGCATTTGGTCCTCGTATCGTTAATCGACACTTCGGCTTTTGTAGTAAGACTATTTTAGAAGAAGAAAACAATGTTAACTTTAAGCAGAGAACTGTTAAATATGTTCTTAATGATTGGTTGTTAAGTAGAAATTCTTCAACGGTTGGACTACACCTTCAAGCTTTGATTTGAAGGGGATTTCTGAACATATTAATGATCAGAAACACCTATATTTAGAAAATTACAGCATGAAATATTGTCAAAGGTCTGAATTCTCCACACAAAAAAACGCAAGTTTAATGAAATTTATCCGGTTAAATTTAAACGTAGCCATTGCAAGACACAACGTGTGGGGATAACATAGACAGCGAAATGGACGGCGTCAGACTCCAGAAAAGTTTTTAACCTTCCTCCAGACAAAAACATTCCAGAAGGCAAACCTTCCTCACAAACAATAGAAAATTGGCGTGGCTTGGGTGTGTCATAGGAGCTTCTATGACACACCCAGTGGCCGTGCGACCGTAATGTTTTCCTGATTCTGGACGGCGTGGGTGCCACGTATCCCTGATTGCTAATTCATAGAAAGACTTGGCGAGAGAGGTTCGTGCAGCTCCATTATCCCATCATTCATTGAATGTGCATTTAGACATTTAGATAAGCTCATCGAGCGCAATAATTACAGTGCTTTTTATATCAGAAAGCAGCGCAAGCTACGACAAAATTCTTCGATACTGCGACCCGTAGAAAATGTACTGGTTAATTTTGTGATTTACAATCATTTGTCCTAGGCAACCCATTTTCTGCAAAAAGTTATGCTTTAAAAAATACACCAAGTCGGTCCGTCAGAATCTAGTGGTAAGTAAAGAAGAACAACAAGCGCCCGCGACTCCAATCGTTAAAGAAATTGTAACAATAGCGAGAGTTCACTTGGGATTTGCGCGCGCTTGCTCATTTCGCAGTCACTTGCTGGACAATTGAAAGATCGGGCCTAAGTTATGAAAACATGGCTTTTATTCGACAATTGCCAGGAATTATTGCATGATTGCTGAGCAAACGAATGACAACACCCAAGAAAGAGTCGTAAGTACATTTATTGTTACGTTTTCATCCTTTTTGTTGCTGTTGTCAACGAAAATTATTTAAATGAAAACACATTTAGATTTAGCCAGCTCGACAACCTCTGTCAATTCGTAATTGTTGCAGCATTGAATAGTTAAAAAGTATATTTTGAGTATTATAAGTTGTTTCAAGATGCATTATCATAAAACCTATGCTTCTGTTGCTTCCGATCCATACGTATGTTGCTAATGGATTCCATAAGCTGGTAAATAAGGAGCGTTGCCAGGGGGGGGGGGAGGGTAACATTTTACAGACATGTTCGTCGGCATATTAAGGACTTTTTCCCAACAGATGGAATTTTTGTACTCACTTTTCAACTCTTTTGCAACAATTGTAACATATTAACATTTCTGTGTAGTTGAACTTTCATATGATGTTATGACTTTCATATGTTGAAAGTATGGCCTTAGCGAAACAAAAAAGCATAAAAGTAGCACGTAAGAGTATTTATCTTTCGATCACACCCTTAAAGTGTGAGACGCGCCCTTTTTTGTCGGCAAAATCACCTCTTCACCCCATAAAACAATTTTCTAGGCTCCGCCACCGAATAAAGTGAATTTTCGAGGTTCCTGGAAACATGCAATTCAATTTCTATAAGGTCTAATCTAACCCGTAATCAAAGTGTCGACACAAAATTTGCGAACTTCCCTGAGGGTCTCTTCAAGCAAAACTGTGATATTTAACATATTTTTCTGCCTCCATCTCTTCATAAGATTGTGGTAGACTTGAGCTTCTATCAGGAAAATTGAAACCAAAATTAGTCATTAATCTGATGAATCTTTTTTTATTTTGTTTTCCTTCCCTTCAAAGGTGCTACCTCTACTTTACTGTTCTCTAAAAAATCATGCAAAATAACAATACATAAAGATCATTCTCCACTTTTAGAAGAATAGCTTTGACCAGGGATTTCAAATTCTTTCTGGCAATAACGTCGGTGGTGCTTTCAGCCTTAAAATTTTCAAGAAACCCGACATGAAAAGCAAAGATGTGAAATCCACTTTTTATTAGGTTTTCCAAATAGTTTTCTTGGTTTTGAATTATTTTAAGTGAAACTGAGTTTCTCCATACAACCTTTTTGAAATACTATCTGTACCTAAAACCCAATAATATTTTTGATACGTTTATGTGCCAAGGAGTCGCTGGGTCTGCACATGTACAAAGCTTGCCAATAGTGAGTGACGCTCCCCACGGAGTCAAAGATTTCCCTTTTTCATTTTAGCAAATGCCCTGTTTAATCTTCTCTATGAAGCTTTGAGTTTAATAACGTTTGCACAACTCTGCCTCTTTATAGTGTTAAAACAAGCTATACTTTGTGTGGCTGGCAATACAAAAGCATCTATATTGGCAAAATATTAATACTAAAACATCAACCGCAGCCTCTCTTGTTCCTGTTAATCTGATCTTCATTCCACATGAAGTTAAACACATGCCCGTGTCCGCGAGAGTTGCGATGGCGCGGATGCGCAAACAAATCTGGGTCGTTCTGACACAGACTTCAGAATTTAGTGTAGAAAATTATTTCTATGCATGCCCCACCAATTGCTTGACATTTAATCATCAACCCCTCGACAGAATCTTTGAAAAAGTTATTTGGAATCTGACAGTTTTCATTGCATTCTACTTGTAGCAAGGAATTTTGAAATCCTTGAAATATGCTACTTCTACCAAGGTACACTCGTCAACAAAACTGTAAACCGGGTCAAGTCATTTGAAGCTTTAAGATCAATAAACCTGTTTAAATAAACACGACCGTACATGGGATACATGGATGTGCCATAGGTTGAGGTTAGAGTTACACTATACCGGATTGCTATCGAAGCGAAGCGGACCGGAGTAACATTTACTCTGGAGTGATATTTAGGGTAGCAGTGTTGAGTGCAGACTTTTTATATTGCATTAAGCTGTACTAGACATATAATATGTCTCGCCCACATTTGAATCTGATGAATATTTGTCACGAATAGTATATTTGATTTAGTTGATCGCTGAGCTTCTAGGGGAATGTTTGTTATTTTTCTGATCCTCGCCTTCGAACCTTAAACGTTACAATTGGTCACAGAGGTGGGTGTTATCTGCTTCATTTTAGGCACATATTTGACAGGATCTTACGAAATCTCTGATGTGTAAGGACATTCCTGGCCAAAAGAATCTTTCTTTAGCACGCTGCAGCGTCCTTCGTTACCCTAGATGACCAGAGAATGGCGACCATATAGGACACTGGGAACTAGTAGCTAGGGTACAATATAAGCATACCTAGGAAGAGAATCATTGACATCAAGTTTACGTGCTAGGAGGCCATTACAAAGAAAAAGGTTGTCCCGAATGTGCCAAAACACACGAAAGGATGATTCTTTTGACCAAATAAAGTAAGGTGGCTTAGGCAAACCAGCAGATATAATTTCTATGATTTTGGAAATCACGGGATCATCTTTCTGGGCTTGATGGAGATTATAACCTGGAGTGATAGAGGTTACACAATCTAAGGTCTTCTCATACATATTATCAGCTGACAAGCGAGAAAAGGCATCAGCATTAGCATGTGTTTTTCCAGGCTTGTGCGTAACAGAAAAATAATACTCTTGAAGGGTCGCAACCCACATAGCAAGACGCCCCTGAGGCTTCACAGAATAAAGCCACTGTAAAGCACTGTGGTCAGTAGCAAGATGGAATGAGCCACCTAATAAATATACACGGAAATTTTCAACGGCAAAAACAACAGCTAATGCCTTCTTCTCTGTAGCTGAGTAATTTTTTTCTTGGGCAGATAATGAACGGCTGGCATATGCTATGACACATTCTTTACCACTTGAATCCATTTGTGTTAAGACAGCACCAAGGCCTTGGTAAGAGGCATCAGTTTGTAAGACAAACCCTTAAAAGTTACAGCAGTTACACTACGACGCTCCGCTCGCTCAAAAGCCTGTATTCCTTTGCATTTCTGGTACACAAAATTCACCAGATTAAATTTTCTTTATTTCATTATCCAGTGGCGGATCCAGACTACCGCCATTACCGCTCGAGCGGTAGTCAGATTATTCAAAAAATTATAGAAACAAGGATCATTTTCATGTTTATCCTACTACTTCAATTAAACCATATTTAATTATTGAAAATATTTGATCGCCCTGCAAACCAAGCCTTTCTTCCTAGAAACATGCCTGAAATTTCCACAGAGACAGAAATATTTTTTAATCCTTATCGCTATGGAAATTGCGTGCCAATTGCCGAGCCACATGTTTGTAAATTGAAGGCTAGCATGGGGGGATGATGAAATCATGGCTTGCTAGCTAGGGGGGTTGAGTCGGTGTAGAGCGGATTCGAGCTGCACTGAGCGGTAGTCAGCCTGCCTAAACCAATCAAATCGTCAGAAATCACTGCCAACCTGGGGGGATGCATACAAATTTTGTTGACAACCAATGAACAACCGAGTTGACTACCGCTCAGATGGGGGGTTGAGTAGTACTGCCGCTCAACACGGCTAAAACGTTACAGAAAGATGGGGGGATGCCTAAATATTCTGCAAACTGTAACTTCAAAGCCGATGTGACCCATTATTTTGTACAATACACAACTATTCGTAGAAATATATTTTAAAAGAATATTAAAACTCAAATATTCTAAAATTTAAAAAGGCATCAGGATTGAAAGTCAGGCCCACAGTATTCGCCAAAAGTATGAATCTTTGTTTAACAAAAGTTGCTCTCAATAATTTCAAATTTTATCTAGCTTTTTAAACTTGTAATTTCCAACAGGTCTGATTTTCATAAGTAATTGTCCGACTAAATGCGAGTTTTAGGCGACACTTCAAAATTCTGCCAAATGTATCTTGTTTTCTAATTCTATGGTGTTCCGCGTCTAAATGCCGTAATTTTTTTAGAATATCCATCCTCAGAATATTGAATAAGATTATTTATTTCTTTTCAAGCTTGTTGTAAGGATACATTAAATTTCAGTAAAGCACAGCTTGTCTCTTGAAAATGGTCTACATAAGAAATTATAGAAAGCAATAATCATTTTAGAAAACCGGGTGTGACCAAGAAATGGGTGTGGTCTAAAGGGTGTGGTCAACCCTCATTTCGGCGGTAGTCAGATTTTTGGCTGGATCCGCCACTGATTATCTTTGTCAAAGTGGAAAATAGAGAATACTTTTTCAAGTTTGACAAAGTTAACCCGATTTTCGCTTCGAAATTCGAGCACTCTGCAGTTGGTGTGTAAAGTGGTTGTTTGCTGTTTGGTTAATGTGAAGTGGTTTAAAACAAAGAACGATTTGACTTTGGGCATTGTGTGGTGCCAGAAAAATGCGTTAATTGCTAGTCATTTCCGTTTTCCAGAGCTCGTTCTGCTCTGGGGCAGGACGACAGAGCCTTTGACGGATTAATGAATTTGGTTCAGTGGCAATTCGGGTGACCGCACTGGAAAATCAGCATTTGTTGACTAACAATCTTAATCCTTTTCTCTAAGAACAATAGAGATTAAGTGTGTCAGAAGTGTTTTCTGAAATCTTGTTCAGTGCGTCTAGGGCCTTAGACCCCGTTTACACTATGCCGGATAAAATTTATCCGCATAAAACTTGTTCGGATTGATTTGCGTTTACACTGTGCCGCACAAATTTTGTCCACTTTGCCCTCCCGTTTACACTGTGCCAGATAAATGGCTTTGAAAAAAGCAAACATTTTACAACATACTTAAAGCTTTTTCGTCTGACACTCCTCAGAGCATAAAACGTCAGAATAGGTAAGATAACTGCAGTCACATTAATTAAAGCAGGCACAGAACGCCCAAAATGAAGTCTTCTCTGGGCAACACAATAATAACAAAATTCCTGCCAACGTAAAAAGACTTAATTTTCTCTTCAGAATCATCTGCTTCTCTTTTAGACCAAATCCAAAGATGTTGTCAAAATAGTTTGTTTTAATAGTTTGTTCTTGAAACAAAATGACACTAAACTAGCAACGAAAGTAGGGAAAGCTGACAAGGATGCCAATTTTACGTGGACTGGCAAGATACTGCACTTTTAACACAAGTATTTATCGACAACAAGGCAGCCAAGATGGTGAAAGGTCTTGATTCGGAGACAGTGAAAACTAAATTGGATGAAATAGCCAATCGCTTTCGAGCAAGATACAATGTGGATAAAATTTATCTGGATAAAAGTGTTTACACTGTACCACAACTATCCGAACTAGTTTAATCCACTTTCCTAGGTGAACTAATTTTGTTCGGATAGCCGCTCTCAAATTCGTGCGGATAGCGTGGGTCTAGTGTAAACGCGACGCCTATCAGAACTAATGTTGATGCGGATAAAATTTATCCGGCACAGTGTAAACGGGGTCTTAGATATGTTCACATTTGGGCAAGATATGGTTAGTAAAATGTTTCAAGTTTGCCAACGTATTACTGCTATTAAACGTACTACAACAGTTTTTTGGCTTTACAGAACTTGAAAATGGCTTTGATAAAAGCAAATATTTTACAACATCTTCGCTAAAATCTTTTTCGTCTGAAACTCCTCAGAGCATAAAACGTCAGAACAAGGAGTTCGTTTTCTCTCTTGGACTCCAATGTCAGACGAAAAAGCTATAGCCAATATGTTTGCTTTTTTCAAAGCCATGTTATTAAGAACCAAAGACCAAATCACAGCGATTTGATAGGAAAAGAGCCTGTGCTTATGTAGGCCATATTTCAGCCAATTTATAGCACATTTTGCACATTCAAAGGTTTTTCATAAGCTCTTTTGGGTTGTATGGTCAATATTTTGCTCTTTGGTCATACCATCTTGTGACGTCATTTTGGAACCCTTTTACACTACATTTACTCCACAAATGCTTTAACCATGTCAAAAATGATGCATTTAAATTCTAAAAACATCCATCTTTTCGCATCTGGGTCACTTTTCCAAGGTCACTGTTTTTATACTTAATCATTGTCATTTTTCATTAAATTTCCCGAAATTCAATAATTTGCGTTCCAATCATAACAATTGCATATAACATTTCTTTATATTGATGAGCTGTGATCAGCATGCAAAACTTTATGCTTTTATACCGCTTATGTAACTTGAGTGATAGAAATGGCCGATAAGGTCCTCTTCCGTAACAAAGTATTTTTTTAGTCGTTTGTAATTACTACCAGACAACGCATAAAGGAAAAAGAATGCAAAGCTTTGTCGTTCAGGCCTCTCTTTTACTTTTTTCTTAAAATTTCGACTGAAAAATCAGCTTAAGCCAGAAATTTGTTGGTGTATCTGCCATAAAGCGAGGAATAGGATATAATATAATACTCTGTGCACAACAACAACAAAGCTCTCTCTGTTAGCTTTTATAGAAGTTTCTGCTATATCAGTCATATATTATATGTTTTTTGTTCTTTCTGCGACTTCCGAAGATGTTATAAAATGAGAAATACAAACCTTAAAAGCCACAAACTCAAGCTTCAAAACCAAAGGCAAGATTGAAATAAGTCCAAGGTTGAAAATAAAACAATTGAAAAAGTCGATGCAGGAAAAAGGTCTCAAGCATTGAACACAACTGGTATCTGCATAAATTAAACTGCTATAATGCTAAGAATAATAATTTGATACAAGTAACTATTTATACGTATGCTCTCTGACATTCAATTTTCAAAATATGAATTATATAAACTAAGAAACAAAATTCATAATGAACTTTATTTTGCTACGTTACATTTACTTTGATGTATAAAATTTTCATGTGCTTTGCATAAGCCGCTAAGATGCAATTATACGAATCTCAATTAGCCTGTCGACCGCCCTTTATACTGTATTTTCTCGTTTTGATGAAAGACTCATAATTCACAATCTCCATCCATAAGACAGAAACATCTGCAGCTTGTTAACCAAGTGGGTCACGAATCGTCCAGCGAGCACGCCGTTTCTGACTATGTTATATTTACTGTGAACTCCCGGGTGATTCTGATGTCATGGTTTTCAAAAACCATATTTGCATACTCGTGCAAGTTGTAGAAAGTTTCGTCTTCAGAAACTGGCGTGCTCCTTGAAGACATCGATACAACTACATAACCCAAAAGAAGCCAAATCTCTTCTTAATTAAACCCTTTTGCTAGTATAAAGCCCCAGTTTACGTCAGTTTAAACACAGTCAAGCATTGTATCAAGAAAACACCTTTCTTTCACAAAGAAAAGCTGAAACATTAGAAAATCATTCTTCGTTGAACAGTCATTATTGCTGCTGTTGTTGCAAATAGACAAGTTCTCCTCCAGGGTGATCGCCAAGCATCATCAGCTCAACCTGACGAGCAAAAGGCTTTTTAGTCAGTGAAAAAGTAAGGATAGTCCTTTTGACAAATAAAAAACCCTAATCTGGAAGTAAGTGTAGGCCAATCATCTCAAAGCAAGCACAAAGTCTTTCGAGGCACTATAAAAACGTCCACAAAGAACACACTTTTAACATGGTGAAAGTTGATGTTAAAATCTGTATAAAATCGTGTAAGCCCTCTTTACAAGAAAAACAAAAACCGCAAACCTGCTTATTATCATAAGATAAATTTTACTGAAAATGTTGTTAATCGTGGCCAACAGTTGCAATGGAAAAATCAATAAGGTGTAAAAAGCTATAAGAGATAACTGTGTTGCAAAGAACGAAACTCTTCTGTCTTATCTTTTCATTGTCTCAGAAAGAATGATACTAAAAAACCAAGTACCGGCGCACATAAGTTTAAAATAGAAAATAGACTCAAGGAGAAATCTTAAAAGTTTTGATTTAGAATACCAGCAAGTGAGTCTTTCAGTAGACTTTTAACAAAAAAGAAGAAAGTTTCTAGCTTTCCATTTTGTCAGATGTTAGGCATAAATTCCCTTTCTTTGGGGATCGTGGTGAACTCAAAAAATAACATTAAGTATAAAGCCAAAGCTGAAAACAAAAAACTCTAAACATGACTTAAAGGGGATTGCTTATCGAAGGTTTTCCTTACCTCCTTCATAAGATTGTCTCGAAAGGATCTCATATCTTCTTGAAATCTCAATGCTTTTTCCATTAAATCATTCTGCCTTTCCCGTAAATCTGCCAACTGTTCCATATTTGCCTGAAAGTGAAGGGGCAATTAGGTAAAAATGGTTAGAAAATTTTTAATTATCTAGATGTTGGTATGGAGCATATTCTCAAAGGAGAAGTAAGCTAAAAGGCAAAGACATAGTATTTCAATATGAAGCATTTCGATCATTGTTGATAAAACTTAAAACAGTTGCATCGATATGAGAGACCTTTCGAAAAACATAAGTTTTATTCTAAAAAGATCACAGCCTTGTACTTATTTTTGGTAAACATCGTTATATATGAAGACGCCCCTGAATGGAAAATTTAGACATATCCACCAGACCGGCGCCCAGCACTCATGTCCTTTATGTTATTAATAGTATAATTCTGGTTTCCAGTATAATCATTGTTACTGTTGTTATCAATACTTTTTAACTCTTTAGAAAATTAAAGCAAAATGATAAAATTGACGGAAACCTGCATCATTTCTAGGCCTTTGCAGCTAACTAAATACGTGGTTGTTCGTGGAACCTGGGTTGGTTTTTCACCTCGCATACACCTGAAATGAAAAAATATTTTTAAAAGTAAGAAAAAAACATCTAGAATAAAAAGTCATTCTTATTTCTTTACACTTAAAGCCCCAGTAGACATTTATTTACTGTAATCAATTATTAACATAATGCTGATATCGTGATTTTGATAGAAAAATGCAGCGTGCAAATTTACATCCGTTCTATTAGCACCGTTTCTCATCTTAAACTGCACACTTTTCTCTGCTTTAAAATTTCCCACACAAATTTATCTTCAAAGTCCCAATCTTTCGAGAATTTCAAAGTCCTCATTGTCTCGAAAGTTTTTTTAAACCTGACTAGAGCAAAATTTGAACGCTGTTAAGCCACGAGTTGACTAATCGATTTTCATAATGAATAAAATACTAAAATAATGGAAATGTATAACAGATCTGGAAAATATTCAGAAAGTACCGATCAAACTCCTCTTGCGTCATCTGCAGAGAAGCAGCATCGAGTTTTTCAATGAACGCCACTGCACAACACTGAAAATGAAAATATCAGCATGTCTAAGCTCGTATAAACCAAGAAAAAATTCAAAACACAATTCAGGGCCAAAAAGTGACAGGAAGTTTGAAGTATAAAGAAATCTACTTATTTTGCAACCGGACTTGCTGGCTTTTCGATGCGAATGAGAGACAGAGATCATCACAAATGAGGATACGCTCTGACTAAACTGTACCGTTGGTCATAATTCTGCCCAGTTGACAACGAACACTAGATCATATATCTACCAGCTAAAATACTTAAATTCTCCAGGGACGTATACTCCCGTAGCATGACTACCCCAAAACAGTTTGTGATTTATCCATTGATTAAAATAATACGATATATTTCTGGATACTTAGTTTAAGACAAATTAAAGGCATTCGTCTGCTTACAACCTATTAATTTAAGAACAAATTAAGAACAATCCAGCCTCAGATTTTTGAAAAAAATTAAGAGAAATTTGCGCAATTTTGCGTAATCCTACTACCGTTAATATAGTCATGCCACTCATACGGGACAAATGACAAATGAGCACTAGATCATTTGTTATGAGTAAATTTCAAAAGTACAGAGGATTTAACTTCAATATAATATTTATTTGTTCAATATCTATTTATTTGTTCAATATCTGTTTACAATATTAGTTTAATGCCAGATTGAATGTAACAAATGTATAAAAGGTACAAAGCAACCTTTTGAAACATAAAAGAAATTACCGGGGATACCTCAAAGAACTAGGGAAAAATAGACCTTAGGGAAGACCCATTAACCCACATTTGTGCATTTACAAACTGTGGAATCCTTGATACAACAACAAATGCTTCAGACTATGGTAGTCTCTGAAAACCTTCTGAGTTTGAGGGTTACCCAGTTTCAATAACTAGGCATTGCAGCATATAACTGCAACAATAATTTAACAAAACCTTACAGTAACAGCAGAAAAATTATTTTTAGAATTAGTACCAGATTTGTGAAATAGTAGCCTGCTTCTCCAGCCATCAGTTTGTTTGAATTGCAGAATCTGGTTATGTATCTGAAAAGAAGCAATTTTTTTAGATTATTTGTAACTTATTCTTAACAGTTTGCCCCTGAGTCAATATGTAGTACAAAAGAAGAAGGTAGTGCCATGACTTTTTATGGACAATGCAGATGATAGAAAGGATATTGACACTGTATACAGTAAACTTACACAAAGACGTAGCTACTTACACTTAAATCAGGTGGTTCTAAGGTTCTGTTCTGATGGAGCGTATGGATATTACAGGGACAAAGATTCTTACATTGCCTTCTTATATCAAACGTATATCATGCTAATTATTGGATTAGTGATACTTAGCATTAGCGGTTTCTTGTTACAAAAACTAATTCAGTGTATAATGGCCTTAAAAATAAAAATCTTGTAAACTTGTCTGGCTGAAATGGATTCTTAAATATAATGTGCTGTAGGTTTTAAAATTCTTGTGCGTGGACTTGACTGTTTTCCGTAAGATTAAAAAAATTTAAACCTGAAATGATTAGATGATTTGGAAAATCCAAAGAAGGGACTAGGCGAGATACAGGACGTAAAACAAGCATAAAATGTTTGATTAGCCCCTTCCTCCTTCAAATATCGTAAATTGAACAACACGGGGTCTCCTGTGTGAAATGAATATTGGTGAGCATTGTCCGAAATGTCTTCCACAGCCAGTTTCGATAAAAAATGAACTACAAAAGTTCTACGGGCATGTTTTCGGGTGCAATCTAGTATCGTTGGATTACCAAATAAGATCCTTGGTATGTTATAGCTTGAGCTTTTTGTGAAATGAAACATTATACAAAAGGCAACTTTATCCTGGGCCAAGATAGCGGGGGCTAGGGAGCTTGAGTTGCCCCTACAAATTTCCTAAGCCAATCAGTGTTTACCGCTTGTTCATACTCGTTTCTGAAAAATAAACAATGTATCCCTGCAGTTTTCTTTGTTAATGAGTCACGTACCACAGAACAACCACTTAGAACACCCAATTCACTTGCAACTCAAATCACCTCAAATGAATCACTTATTCTACGTATAATTAAAGGACCTTATTCTGAGCAATAGTGTTTAGTTTATTTAAGAAAACAGATGCTCCCCCTGTCCCCTCCCCCTTTCCTCTCCCCCTTTCCCATCCCCCTTTTCTCTCCCCTTTCCCCTCCCCCCACTTTCGGAACCTATCTAGGCCTTTGACTTAATCCATTATTAGGGTTTAACATAAGTCATCCTCATCGCATTTGACATTAATCTCAATTGCAAATAAGACTTACTGGATGTTTGACTGTAGAAGGGTTGGGTTTGCCTTGAGAACGACAAAAATCAAGCATGGTAGAAAATCATCTGCACTGGCAGCTATTTCACTGCTGGATAGTTGCAAAATTTCTAGTGTCTGATGAAGGAAACATCTTTCGCTTGACAAACAAAAGAATCAAACGTAAAGAAATGAGAAGATATATGACAAGAAGATGTGATAAGGTTAAGGGAATAGCAAATAGGGCCTGTTAGCTTACTTTTTCGTGACAGTACCATTGTCTTCTGTATTATACAGAGAATCTGAGCCTAATTTAAACTACCGGACTCTCTTTTACAGCGCGAAGGCCAAAATCGTTAAACGTTTTTAATTTTATCAAACTTTCTCTCTCTCTTCTAGGAAATGTTACAGTCTTCACAAGCATGCATAAAGTGCAATACAATCAAATTCAAAAACCCAAGGTAAGAGGAATCCAGACGCTGAAATGATCAGAAAAATAAAATGCTTAGAGCTTTCTTTCCTCTCATGACATCAGTCCTTGCTCTATTCATTTAGTAAACCTTTTGCAACTGTGACCTGGCTTTCCCTCAGTTAGGTAAAGCCGATTATATCAATATCCACCACATTCTCAGCACTAGCTGGCTTCACAAAAAACTATCCCAAATAAATAAAACATTATCCGCCTTACACAAAAACCCCCACAAGATAACAGCGAAGTCAGAAACAATGGCATTTCTTATAGAAGGATACGAAAAATACACTTGCTGCACTTTACTATGCAAGCAAGCTTGTCTTGTGGCGCTCGCTTTGTGTTCATCTCCAAAAGATCTAAAACAGTCCAAGAGATAGAATTACAGTAGGTGCATGCAGTATCGGCTTAAAAACAGCTCGAACGGGCCGCTGATCTTCAACAAATGAAGGTAACATTGGCAATAAGCATAGCAGAGTGTAAACCTGAAAACGAACCAATTGAGCTCTTTTACAGTTTTGTAAATTAGAGCGGAGAGGGGAATCAAAATTATGAAAAGCTGAAAATTGCAATTCATAATACAAAATTCAATTCCTAGGTTTTTAAACATATGTAGCAAAATAGGTATTGACAGTTGAGATAGTAAACATCCCCTAGGCAATGTCAGCATCATTTGGGCAGTCTATAGGATAAAATTCTCTGCAGCACGAAGCTGTGCAAACATAATTGCACCATCAAGAAAAGTGCAAACATTATTGAAAAAAATGAAAAATCTTCATACCATCCTGCGCCCCTTCCACCAATTTTTGCACTTCTTCGTTCTGCATATCAATCTCGGCTTCAAGATGTTGTTCAGTTATCCACTGAAAACTTCGAATGGTCTTTTGTAATCCAAGATCCCGGTCTTCGTCGTCAGAAGAAGGGTGGCAGAAAACCCTAGAAGAAAACTACGGGTGTTACGCCCTACCAAAAGAGAAGTTTCACGCATTTTGTTATTAGGATTTTACGTGCAAAAAGCCTAACTTGGAACGAATATGTCTCTTTATAGAGCCTGCCAAATTTCTATTGCAAACCATTTGCAAACTACCATTTAATAAAACTCAACTTTTCCTCATTGGCATTAAAAAGTCTAGAGAATTCGCAGTCCAAATTTTTGCTTTGCACTTTATTTTATCATGACCTAAGAAATGTTTTGACCATTTAGAAATCGACTGAAATCCTCTAATTCATAAATATATTTAAAAGCTTAATAGAATGTGACAAAATCATTCTAGATATCACCTCAAAGTGACTAAAGAGCTAATGCCTTTGTTGAACATAGCCGCGTGTAAGTAAATCTGCAAAAAGCAGATGAATCCACGGGAAATTTAGAATGTAGGAAATATTATACAAAAAAATTGACTGGGAAAAGCGTCACGGTCACCATGTAGCCTGTCCAAAATAAGAAGATCAAATTACAATCACCCTTTTTTACGACCGAAAGTACAGCTGCAGCTAATTCAAAGAGTTAATGATCAGTTGTTTTGGTTTTAAGTACATTAGTTCAAAAACAATGCATTTTGCAGTGTACCAACAAACCACTCCGATATTTTAAGAATATTTCATTCTTATTTCGTAGAAAACATAAAACAAAAACCATATTATAATAGTAAAGGTTTTAATTGTATAAATACGAAAAATGCAAAAATGGGTGATCTGAAAATGGCACAGATGAAGCAGAAACAAACATTTTCCAGCAACTAAAGACGTTTTTGCCGGGAATTCTTAGACTACAAAAGATCGGTATGCTGCTAAATGTTTCTACTGCCTCGTACAAAAGTCTTGAAGCTGCTGTAATGCGAAAGGCATGCTAAAATTCTTAGGTAAAGAGCGATACTTACGCCTTATAAATCTGAGTCATTATGTATTTTTCAATTCCATCCATCATCTTTTCGAGTTGATCAGCATTTGTATCTTTCAATGCAGGATGTGACTGGAGATCTTCGGCCATTTTCTTGGAAATCAAACCATTTACTTTTACTAAAGCATCTATATACTCGAACTTCACAATACAAAGTAGGAAGTTTTTTGTCGGGGGTTTTATGTTAAGAAAGAAAACGAAAACGCTTTGGAATTTCGCATCATAAGGAAACAGAGTAATGTTAAAAATTTCCTGTGAATGATTAATGAGAAACAAAAATGATATACATACAACATAAAAGTCTTGTACAAGTTCACTATGTTGATTGACAGTCAACTGTGGACTGCTCAAAATTCGCACAATAAACCTAGAAAAAAATTGGTCCAATTGAAATTTAGCTGGCATATCACTTAGTTAAATTTGAATCTTTTCAACTCAATAATCAACAGACTAAACTATTAGGAAATTTTCCAGTGATAGCAATTGACAAAAATAAACAATTTAAAATTATTTGCGTGATAACTAAAAATTGCGACTGGTATTTATCTTTACATTCTACTTTTTCTTGCATTTAAAAGTATTTAACGACTGGCTTTCTGCTAAATACTCAAGATGATATAACTGATGGCTTAATACTAAATCTTAGAAACAACCATTGCAAACTGTATAGCCACAGAAGTATTTATAATAATATTTGGCTCTGAGAAGTTTAAAAAAACCCCGAAATTGTTCTGATTCTAAAGAAACTCTTTCTGTTATGTATAATAGTTCCTGTCTTATCCAAAAACAATAGTTTCTTTAAATTATTCCTGCCTTGCTTGTCTAAATTTTCTTGTCTATACTTATTAAATCCTCCTTGACTGTCTTCACTTATTAACTCTTTCTTGATTAGCTAGTAACACAGATTGGTCTGTAAAACCTTTTTGGTACATTGTTTACGAAAGACCATTTTGATTTCAGCTCTGTTACAGTTCAAATGAAAAAGCAATTATATGCTAACTCCATTTGGAATTAACAAACACACAGGGTTGCTATTGACCTAAATTAATTCTTATTACCTTTTGCATCTATCTGCAACACCTTGGACTGCTGGTGTCCGCAGTGTTTTCAAGAATTCTACAAAATCTCTTGACGCTTTCGCTCTTTCAGCTTTGGCATTTGCTTGTTCTGTTGTAAGGAAAACGATAAGAAGAAACTGTAGAGTATTCACTTGTGTTCATTAAAGAATAAGTTAGCAGCCAACATAGGGTTATTCATCTTGTCTCAACATAAAACTCCCTTGAGGTTTTCTGGAGTATCTAGTATCTTATCGGGTCTCTAAGATATTGAATTCTTGATATTAGTAGCCTTGTATTAAATTATTCTAACATATGTTTATTATGCATTGTAATATTTTTCACTGTTAAATAAAACATAACTTAAGACAGGGCTAACAAGCAATTGGAAGATAGTAAGGCCATTCTAAAAAAATTGAGAGTAGAAAAAGTATGCTTGATAGAAAATTAAATATCTTATCATTCTTTAGATGGGTGAACCAAAAATGTCATGAAAATGCCCATTCACAAATCTTGGACAGATCTTTTTCTTTTGAAAAAGTCTGACAAAATTGACTTGGATCTCATCAAATATTTCGAAATAATTTTATGACAGTGTAAAAATGCCACAGAGGCAGGTTAAAAACAACTGACAGCTTACCTTCTTTGGAAACAATAGGTGATCTAAAATTTGGACTGGGCGATCTGCCAGGTGATGAGGGTCTACCAGAACTCTTCTTGAAAAACTTTTTAACACTTGCCCTATAAAAATGAATACCAAACATCATGACATCCTTGCATAAGACACACCCTTAATACCATGCCTGAATTCTGAAAAATAGTTTTAACTTGTGTCTTACCATGTATAAGATTACCATGTATTATCATTAAATGTTTACAGGTTATAAAATCCATAAAATTATCTGTCTAAATACTTCTCTCTGAAATAACCAGCTCATACATTGCAATTTGCTCAATAAATTTGGCAAAGACAAAGCCTTTATTTTATTGCTGGAAACAATCAAAGAGTGTATCCAAAAGCTAGGAAAAGAAAACCATAGAAAAGAACATAAATGAAAATCAAGAAAGAAAAAGCTGTGTCATCAACAAGAGCCAATGTGTTACTTCTTGTAGAACCCTTCAGTTGTGTGTTTATTCCTGATTTGTGTTAAGCACAAATTTTCCACTATTATACTTAAATAGCACAAATTATACCAATTTCCTCTTTTTTCTTATGACAAGATATCATTTTCCTCTTTTTTATTTTACACCAAGAAACCAACGCAAAGAACTCTACTTCTTTCCCTTTTTGTTTGCCACCATGTGGAAATACAATCTATTCACCCACTCACTCTTTCAGCTTGGCTCCATTTATAGTTCATATCATGCAACATTTTGGCTTCATCATCTTGCATAGGATTCGACTCTTTGAAACTATCTAATTTGCATTTTCTAGTTTTTGAAAAGGTAACTTCTAAAGAAACTATTTGAAACTTAGCAATAAGACTGAAAACAAATGTCCTAAAAAACCTTTAAAATATAACTAAAAAGACTTCTTTAGCATGGGTAATAACTGTACAAGTGAAATGATGTTTGATGAAATGGTTGTTTACCCCCACGCAAAACCATTTGCATGGATGTTGAGGGGAGCACATTCAACTGCCTGTGTCTGCAGGTAGAGATTATTAATACAGTAAGAGCATTTTTTGAATTTAACAAGGTTACTTTTTAGAGTCTTTCTGTTCCTTCTTCTTTTCTGCAAACTTTGCAAACTTCAGTTGTCCAACTTCAACACCTTGATATTCTTCTAAAAAATAAGAAAACTTCAATATTGACAGATTTTACAATCCTGGTTTTAATTATGTTCTTAAAATACTCATTTAGCAGGCCTGGCCGTTTGAGGCGAGCGCTAGCTCGCGCTCGCCTCCACGCTCCCCTTGCAACCTGAGGCGAGCTATGAATTGCTCTCCTAAACAGAACATGAAGGGAGAATCGCTCCCCTAAAATTTCCATTCATTTGCCCTTTTCCTATTCAGAGAACCCTGAAAACGGGTTAATTGGCTTATTTTTGTAACAGTGATTTCTCCCGTCACTGCATTTTTTGCAATTAACTTTTTGCTTGTTGGGCGGTTTTTGTTATGATATGCATAAACTTCGATCTATTTGGAAAAGGATAGTTAACCGAAAGGTCGTTTGTAGCGTTAACCGAAATAGTCAAACGTCGTTTGTAGCGATTAGAACCTTTCGATCCTAAGAAAACAGGAATATTTTTGGAAGGAAAGTCGAAGAAATGGGTAGGAATTGTAGATTGGGGATATAATAAGACAGCAGGTCCCTTCCAGCAATAGAAACAAAACTATCCCTCAAAGAGAACAGGGTACTCTGTCTTGCAGATCAAAAACGACAACCAAAACATGGAATTCCACTATCCAGCAGCATTTACTGAAAAACCCAGATTGGGTGAAAAACTATAACGGCGACATGTTTCGCATTATTGGCAAAGCCTGATCATCGTTCCATCTATGTAGCAGTTTGTGAATCTATCTACTATATAAACATGGCCGACTGCTTTTGTGTAGACATAAGTGAGTTCGTTTTCACCTTAGGACTCCGTTGGTAACATTTTCAATAGGAAAGGGGCACTTATTGGAAAACCTCAACAGTCATGTCCTCACGTTTTCTGATGGCCTATTTCGATCCAAAACTGGGTATTTTAGCGTAGAGTTTTCCTTCTATGTTCTGACGTTTTATTCTCTGAAGAGTGCTAGACGTATAATTAAGTTTGTTTCAAAATTTGTTTTTTAAAGCCATTTTCAAATTCTGTGCAACAAAAAGATTGTTTTGCAAGAGAATTGTTGTTTTTGTGTTGTGCCAGCTTTACATAAAACGGAGAGAGTCTGTTCTTTCAAATACTTCAAGTAAAGGGGGTGCAAAATGCAAATTGAAAGAAGTAAAACAGCACACTCCTGACTGAGGCTATTACATTAAGGCAACCAACAGATACTAAAGGGGCTTATTAAGTCATCTGTCGATTGTCTTTAAAGTACATTCTATGTGTTACTGATTTAGCTCGCCTCAGCAAATGAGGGGAGCAATTCACAGCTCACCTATGAAAATACAAACGGCCAGGCCTGTATTTAGCTATTGGCATTAATCTATGTCAATACAGCTGCATATGGTATGCATACTTACGTGGAGTGGGCAATGGTTTTGTTAGAAAATCTTCAGAACTTAATGATGTTGTTCTATGCTGGGTTTTTTGCATATATTCTTTGTAACATTTAGAGCAGTATCCTTCCCATGCTGGATTTCCATAGAACCCACACCTATAAAATAGAATTCAAATAGAGTATTTAAGCGCTTTAGAGACTTTGATATTGGCAAACAAAATATACCAAATAGGTACTGCTAGATTTGAAAATTACAAGAAAAGTTTGGTCCTAAAAAGTTTGGTCCTTAAAGTTTGGTCCTAGAACGTTTGGTCCTAAAAAGTTTGGTCCTGAAAAGTGTACAGTATATCTAAAAAATATCCTGGATTGGCAATGTTTCAACTAAATTTGAAAGTCAGATCAAAACAGCCATGACCAATTGTTCCTCCACTGTGAAGCCTTGTGTGTCCTTGTGTACATACTAAAGTCATGCTCCAATCAATTCAAAAGGATTGAGTTCCAAACAATCAAAAAAGTTTAATCATTTATGAATTTTCATGCCTATGTGAAGCTTGGCATGTAGGATGCACTAGTCAAAAATGTGTCTATAGGATAAAACAGTATGTTCTTATGAGCAAACAGTTTCGAAAAGAGAACATTTGCAATGTTTTTGTATAGCATGAAATGCTCCTGCCTTTCTGTGCTGTTTTTAAGTAAAAAATACAACGTTATCTTTCATACAATGCGTAAACAATCAATAATTTACACAATTAAAAGATTATAACAAACAAAATCTTAAACTTTTGCCATGAGTCTGATATTTGGATTTTTTTAGTACCACAGAAAAGCACTTAAACTTTTGATTAAGATTTTAGGACTATTGGACCATGGTGTTATACTGGGCAAAAGCCAAAGCGGGTACTGAATAGTGAGCAGAAAAGGTCTAAGGGACATCAAGTGTTCAAATTGTCAGATAGAATATAGGTCAGATTGCCCTGATGTTATTGCTTCTTTTCTGCTTTTTAAGAAATTGATAATTGATTTTTTATATTGTTTTCTGTTTCTGTTACCTAGTAATGTGCTGTTCTGTTATTTCTAAATCTTGCAATTTCGGAATTTTTCATTAAGCAACTTGATCGGTCAGCTAAGCAGTCCTTGCACTTTGCTATCTGCTGTGTCTTGGTCAATAGAACATGGCTTTGCAATGAAGTTAATATGTGACTGGGCAAATTGTGAATAGTTTGTCTACGGTTCAAAAACTATTAAATTAATTTAGCAGTAGATTGATTGAGAAGAAAAGATTAATCTTGTTTGATTTTGATTAAGCTCCTGTTCTTGCTAAAAATGTTTACTAGTTTCAATTAAATCTCCTTGTTTCCTTATGCAAAATGGCTTTCAGTGAATTTTAGTTATCCTGACTTGGAAAATTGTTCAGGACTACGCACTACTAAAAACTTGGGAATGCCCTGATTAACTTGAATTAACAGTTCCTTGAAGATATTTAAAGGATCAATCATATTCCATCGTTTTTTGTGCTATTCCTAACTTGACAACACATAAACGCTTCAATATTGCCCTCTGAAATTCTTCAATAAATCAAAGCAAGTGATTATCTAAGGGCAAAAAAGGGAAACCTCGATGCTAGGGAAAGGCTGTTAAAACCTCAGGTCTATTAGAAAGGTAAATCTGAAACTTAAATCGAATCGCTAATTTTGCTCAAGTTTTAAAAATTTTTGATTTATAAACAACTTATGTCCTAGATATATAAACAACTTTGAGCGACTATGTCATAGATACTAGCCTTGCAAATGATTCAATAAACAAACAACATTAACCGATATCTGCCATATGAAGGCTAAATATAATCTGGTTTTTGTGTCTTGGTCGTATTCTAGTCAAGTTATTTCTCCTGTTGTTGTTAGGAGCGTCCTAATTTCTTCTTAAAAATGTATCATGATTTCTTACCCTGATTTACAATATAAGGCCGAGTTAGCCAGCCTTTTTGTTGGCCTTCGTCTCTCTGCTGTGGATGTGCTCATATTTGTAAGATATGATGTGGTTTAAAAAGATATTTTCATCAACTTTTGTTATCCATTATTACGTTCATCACAAGACAAAATTATTGGTTAATCTAGCAACAGCAACCACAAAAGTGCCTCCACAGTGACATTCACCCATAAAGATGCATTTACCCCATAGAGATAATTACTCTCACTAATCTATATAAAAGATCAGTGATATACCCTTTGTAGCTATGTAGCATGGGACCCTTATTAATTTCGAAAACTAGCAAATTTCTACTTTTTTTTTCGTTTAGCAACATTGTGTGCAATATCCCCCTTGTTTTTTCGATAGCACTACACAACTGCTTTGTAGCATTGAACATATAGAAATTTTATGATGTAAATCTGATAATTTCTACATCTCTATCTCCGAGACTTTACAATAAAGTATTTATCTTAACAGCTAGTTGAAAAATATGTGATAGATAATAATGGCTTGCTGCTCAGTCGATCAAATCTTTAAGAGATCTGCGACACAACAGCAGCGTGACGAAAATGATGAATTTGAGGGAAAAGAGAAGCAGAGCCAGGGACGTCGCCAAAGGGGGCCGGGGGGTGCGTTACCCCCCCTCAACACTTTGCCCATCAACAAATTAAGGATTATTGCCGGGCAAAAGAAGCAATTTTTGTGCTCTTCCTCTAGCCTTTTCGCAGCAATGGCAACGTATTAACATTTCTGTGGTTGTTGAACTTTCAAAGTATGGCACTAGAGTATAAACTTTGAAACAAAAAAGCATAAAAGCAGGATGTAAGAGTATATTTCCTTTGACCGCTTCCTTAAAGAGTGAGACACGCCCTTTTTTGTTGGCAAAAAGCACTTTTTTCCTCTCGAAGAATTTCTTTTGGCTTCGCTCCTGAGCAGAGCAGCCATAGCTTGGAGATTTGAATTAACTTTTGTGACAATTTCCTTGAGAAAGCCGTTTAATTCGGCTACGTCATTGGCTTTTTGCAGATTTGAGCTATTCTCAAACAAGTTTTCTAATCTAATCATTAGGAAGCTGCCCCCTCACGTTGCTAGTGAAACTGATGGATATAGTCACGTGTTAACCGTTGACATTTTAATGTAAGCTTATTGTGGTTAACTTTGGATAATGTTTTAATAGATAAACAGCCAGGTTTTTTTTCCTTTGACCCAATCTTTAGAATATGTTTTTCATGACCCACTATGACCCCTTTTAGTTCTAATACTTTTTATTTTTCAACCTGATTTGAAAGTTTCTTAAATGTTCATCTTTAGATTTTCGTCGATTAAGTAATATCATGACCTACTATTGTAGCAGTATTAATTATATACCGTTTCTTATTAGCTAATACATTTGTCGGCTAAATCCTGATTTTAGGATCAGCTTTGGCGGTTAAGTGGTAGGTGCTTAGGATGTTCTGTACGATTTTCTTTGTGCTTTATTTTACCGTCTATATCTGCCCTCGTAAAAAATTAAACAGTATTCCGTTAATTTTAACAAAGTCGGAAAAAGCTTAAAAGAGCTCTAGATTTATTCAAATGAATCGGAATTAAGTATTAAAATCGATTTAGGTCTACAAAGATCACACAATTGTTTATCACCCTCCTTTATCTGTTCTGATTACCCTCTCAAAAAGTTTGTTCAACATTGGTGTCTGTTTTAGTACTTCAAGGAAAGAGCGCGCCCCTTTCAAAGCATCTAAATTTCAAATTAACGATGTCATGTCATGACATAAACATGAATTGTCTATGAGCTGTTATTGTACATGCATTTGAAAAATTCGTTAGTTAGTTAGTTAGTTAGTTAGTTAGTTAGTTAGTTAGTGAGTTAGTTAGTTAGTTAGTTAGTTAGTTAGTTAGTTAGTTAGTTAGTTAGTTAGTTAGTTAGTAAGTTAGTTAGCTAGTTAGATAGTTAATTAATCAGTTAGTTAGTTAGTTAGTTAGCTAGTTAGTTAGTTAGTAAGTTAGTTAGTTAATTAGTTAGTTAGTAAGTTAGTTAGCTAGCTAGTTAGTTAGTTGATTAGTTAGTTAGTCAGTTAGTTAGTTAGTTAGAAAGTTAGTCAGCTAGTTAGTTAGTTAGTTAGTTAGTTAGTTAGTTAGTTAGTTAGTTAGTTAGTTAGCTAGTTAGTTAGTTAGTTAGTTAGTTAGTTAGTTAGTTAGTTAGTTAGTTAGTTATTAGTAGTTAGTTAGTTATAAGTTAGTTAGCTTAGCTAGTTAGTTAGTTAAGTTAGTTAGTAGTCACAGTTAGTTAGTTAGTTAGAAAGTTAGTCAGCTTATTTAGTTAGTTAGTTTAGTTAGTTAGTTAGCTAGTTAGTTAAGTTAAGTTAGTTAGTCAGTTAGTTAGTTGTTAGTTAGTTAGTTAGTTAGTTAGTTAGTTAGTTAGCTAGTTAGTTAGTTAGTTAGTTAGTTAGTTAGTTAGTTAGTTTAGTTAGTTAGTTAGTTAGTTAGTTAGTTAGTTAGTTAGTTAGTTAGTAAGTTTAGTAGTTAGTTAGTTAGTTAGTTAGTTAGTAAGTTAGTTAGCTAGTTAGATAGTTAATTAATCAGTTAGTTAGTTAGTTAGTTAGTTAGTTAGTTAGTTAGCTAGCTAGTTAGTTAGTTGATTAGTTAGTTAGTCAGTTAGTTAGTTAGTTAGAAAGTTAGTCAGCTAGTTAGTTAGTTAGTTAGTTAGTTAGTTAGTTAGTTAGTTAGTTAGTTAGTTAGCTAGTTAGTTAGTTAGTTAGTTAGTTAGTTAGTTAGTTAGTTAGTTAGTTAGTTAGTTAATTAGTTAGTTAGTTAGTTAGTTAGTTAGTTAGTTAGTTAGTTAGTTAGTTAGTTAGTTAGTTAGTTAGTTAGTTAGTTAGTTAGTTAGTTAGTTAGTTAGTTAGTTAGCTAGTTAGTTAGTTAGTTAGTTAGTTAGTTAGTTAGTTAGTTTAGTTAGTTTAGTTAGTTTAGTTCTTCTGATTTTTATTATTAATTCACTTCCAGATAAGTTTGGCTTTCAGACACTCTTCCTCTAATCGACAGAAAACAGACTGTGACATCACACACCCTCTTATCTTTTAGGAGAAGATCGCCTTCTTGAGTTAATCCAATTCCTTCTGCATGGACCTGCAATCGGAAGAGAGCTAGAAAGAATTTTCACTGGCAAAAGATCCCTGAAAGTTGATGCAAGAGTTTAACATTTGCTCGGGTTTATATCTTGATCATGAGTCATATTGCAATATTTTCTTCTGTATTTGCGTTGATGCATTGAATACCTTTGGTCTATCTAGTTCAGGTAAGGATTTTAACGCGGAAAATAAAGAATTAATCGAAATGCAACTCGGTTTTCTTACACCCTGGGTACCAGAGCCTGTTTAAGCTGACGATACGATAGTATATCAACTAGCTAGGAATGTATTCCCTTCGGTCTATCGGTGATATAAAATAATGGGTAGATAAATCAGTAAAAATGAGTAGATAGGAAAGCCCCTTTTGGTGTTGCCCCAGATTGTTGCCATTTGCCTCGACATAAGAGATAACTGATGTTTTCATGCTATACACACTTTTCATAGAATAAATTCTACAGCAAAATAGAGGCTTAAAGTTAGTGAGATGTACGAATCGAATAAGAAAGATAACCAAATTCGTATTTGAATTGAATCTTCAAATTTGATTGTGCCTCTATATGAGTTTTAGAGAAAGACGAAAAAATGCTCAACTTAAGGATATTTTGGGGCAAGACTCTAGCTCATGAAGTTGGCCGCCATACGGCCCTTTAATGCCCTATGCTATTTCCTGCTATAAAAAAGATTCTAGTTACGCCCTTGTAAAATTCCAAGAAATGGGAGCGCCATAAAAGATGCCTGTATGTCCTTGCTAGCACTTAAAAATTAATAATGCATTGACATTATAACGTTTAGAAACATTAGCTTATGGAAAGTAATCTTCCTCTTGATAACTGGAAAGGGCATTGCAATTAATGTGCTCGATGTGATGTCGTCATTCAAGTTTGGTACTCCTCCCTTCTAGTCCCTCTGTCTGCCCTCCACGAGGCGATCCAGGGCAGCGATTTATTGCAAATTTTTCCTTTTTACCTGGACATTGCAATGAAACAAGTCATAGCTCAAACTGTATTTTAATGAAGGTGAGGACATTCTTAATCAGATTTATATCCCGTTTCCTTTACTATTGTATTTTTTGTGGTAACTTGTTAGAAGGAAAAATTCGTTGGTAAAAGCTTCTATCGTCATAGACAATTTGTCTAACACTTTGGTAGCTTTAGAGGGTTAGAGGATCCATTCAGCGAGCAATGTCCTAAAAACGAGCATCTGAAAACAGTCTTCACAATTCCAACCTCATTACAACCACTCTGCAAGTAGCCAGAGAGCGTGATAAAACGGCTAAAAAGTCAATTGTCTTTCAAAACAGGCCAACCTAGGCAACTGAAAAGTGAAACAGCAATGGAAATGGTCGGGTCCTGAACAGTGGGAAGTTCAGGGTTCCATCTGAGGGGCCCAGGCCTATGATTTTCCGACAAGATAACATCTTGTGTCATGTCTAATTTTAAGGAAACTGCAAATTTTGATGAAAAAAGGTGATTTTTTAGAGGGACCCTCTAGAAATTTTTGCTGACCACGCCATAACTAAGTAGCAAGAGCAATCCACTTATGATTTTTAATATCAAGATCGATATCTCATCTAAAACAATTGATGATAGAAGAGGTCGACCGATTACATTTTTGGCAAGTCGTTCATGATAACAACATGATTGTAATTGAATTGAATTTAGATATACAATACACAAACAGTTTCTATTTTGGTCATATATTGTATGTTTGATTATCTAGTACTGGCTAATATTTCATCAGCTATGCTTTGTTCAAATTTTGCCAAAAGCGCACAGAGAGATTTCAGAAGCCCCCTAGGATAGAAAGGGAAAGTGTAGATCACCTGCGAACCAAGCGAGCAGAAAATTTGGCAATTACGCCTCCTAGATTAGCTTAAAACCTCTTTTCACAACAATTTCTTGGAGTAATTTCGATATGTTAAACGCCTCTCAATTATCCGACGAAAGCCCGAATATTCCGACGACATCGTTGATTAGGGGGCCCAAGCCCCCATACCCCCATAATTTCCGCCACCGGTCCTGAAGCACTA